CTCAGATGCTGCTATTTCAGTTTGCGGCTGAATAACCCAGTACTTGATAGATAGGAAATCCTCCACGCCACAGGCATAAAATTCTTAACAGGAGAGATCTTTCTCAATTCTAGTAGGTGTGATGCATAATTACTTAGCTGAGTAATTATTCTGGTTAATTCCAAGAATGAACATGCTTGGGTATGCAAACTCACTATGTGGCACTCATATTTAGCTATTTCTTTTTCCTTTTATGTGGGTTACTGATTTATCTTCTTTACTTTTGTTTTTGTTTGGTGATTGTTGCTTGATTGTTACTGCATTGACTGTTAATTATTAAGTGCTCTGGGGGTCCCATGCGTGAACAAAAAGGCAGGGTAAAAATGTTTTAATAACTTGATTTTAACAGCACCTGGAATTTTAGGATATAGCTGACTTTGTTTTATTGGGATTGTTGAAAAGGCTATTGAGAAATTGTTAACCTATGTTTCCTAAACCAATATAAGATGTCATATTATGAAATGAAATACTGTGTTTTATTATAAATAATGAAGAATTTGAACTATAAATATGTAAAAGGTACTAATTTCCTTAAAATGAAGACACATAGAGACTTATGTAGATTCAGAATGAATTCTGGATAACTAGCATGGAAAAAATGTCACCATGTCCTGGATAGTTATCCATGCAGTATATTTGAAAGTTTTGGCTTATCAGTTAATGAGCAAAAAAATAAAAAAGCTATGCACATCAAAAACCTTGGTAAACAGATGTCTTGAAAGATTCATAGACATAGGTTTAATTAGCAAATTTTGAGTAAGCAGTTATCTCCTCAAAGGAATGATTCAGGACTAATCGCATCTAGCCTGAAAGGCATCCTGAAGCCTTTCTTGTATGTTTTAATCATTTGGGAATGTTGAGTACTAATAAGATAATTTAGGGTGCAATGTGTGTTTAGACAGAAAAAGTTCCACATCTCCCAAAGTTCCCCAGTCAGCCATGCACAGGATTGTGCCATGAGAATGTGAGTCCTAATTTATGGAACAGTAGATAATACGGGTGATGAAGTAATCTCTACTCAAAAAGGATGTGTTGATTTCAAAATGTAGGAGTTGCTTATTAGAACTCCCAGCGCTTCAGAATTGAATATGGAACTTGGAGTGAGATCTCTCCTTTTTAAGCAACTAAAGCTCAATCCTATGGCTGGGAATTAGATGGTTGGGAACACCAGGCTTTTGCATGTGTCTATGCATACATAGGATTGTGCTCTGAGGCTACTAGACTAAAAGCAAAATTAAAGTTTAGGAAATTCTGTCCAAGAATTTTCAGCAACGCTGTATTTAACAACAAACATTTTCATTCTATTTTATGGAAGTTCTGTTTTGATGGGATGTTACAGGTATATTTCTAATTAAAGTAAATCCAAAGATTTTTCTCTTACAAATTCTTGTTAAGACAAAACCCAATGAAATCTACCTAGAACAAGCTTTAAGTGAACTATATTAATCAGCTATTGATTGTTAACTGGCAGCAAAAGCCTTTTTGATATATTGGAACTCTATTTTGAAAAGTAACATAGAAACAGAGCGAGTCAGAAGGGGTCTCCTGGGCCATCTAGTCTGACCTCCGGCACCAGCCGGCTCCGCTCACGACATGCCCACCATGTGCATGTCCAAGCAAGCGAAGGCCAAACGTGTAACAAAAAGCTCTGCACACAACACTTAAAAGAATAGGGGATTCATCTTCTTTATGTTAAAGCAGAATTTATATCACCCCACCTACTAAATTTACTGGCAACTCTAGCAAACTATTGTTGAGGGTAACATAAAGGCCACCGTTTTGTGTAGTCATTCATTTTAAAGCAAATACATCTACATTTACTGGCCAAAGCATACATTGTTGCTCACAGAGACTATCAATGTTTTATAAAGTCCATTTTTGTTCCTGCAAGAGGCTTCCAATTGTTTCCCATCCAGGGAATGAAACAGATCTGAAGCTTCTTAACATTAGCAATACTGCAGCCTCCAGCCCTCCCATTGGACATCACTATACATGACTATGGAAGCGTCTGTGTATTAGCAACTTTCTTGTGTGGCACAACAGCTTTCACGGTTGGGATGCCTGCTTTCCCCTTCAAGAAGCAACGCTTGCATTTTTCCAGCTTTTAATCAAAGTTCTGCTATTGATGCATGTTTGATCACTGACATATGAAACAGAATAAAAAGGAGAGGGGAGAAACATCAAATCTTAATATGATTTCTCTAAATCTAATTCAGGTAGAGGGTCCTGCTTTCATATTTATTTATTTAAAATATTTGTATGCCACCTATGTGCCATAGCACCATAAGGTGGCCCACTATCAGAATTAAAAACCATTATAAAATTAAGTGTACACTTAAAACAAAACTGTGTTCAGGTTGGTCTTCCTGGTGGACATGAGCTTCCTAACTGTACCAAGGTACTAATAATTTATAAGGGCCTTTTTGTATTGAATGGGATATGGACTGCATGTGACCTGCTAAGGATCAAGTTTAGCTGCATTATCACAGAGAAAGTAGTACGTGTTGCAGGCTAAGTGGTGGTCCAACAGCTGCTTTCCAGAGGCTGCACACAGGAAAGATATAAACAAACTCTAAAGCATAATCGTAGCTCTGAATGTTGTACAGATTCCAACTGTCAACCCCGATCTAGTTTAGAGGAGCCCAGTGTCTTGTAGGTGTCAGGGCCTGCCTTCAGTGCCAGGCCTTAGCCTCAAACATAGAAAGAAAATATAGGTTTTAATGTCTGAGTGGGTTCAAGTATACCTCATTTTATCAGGAACTAAGGGAACAGTTTCCAGATTTCCTGACAGATTTGACAGGAAATATCTAGAAAGACGTATTTAACACAGTGAAGGATCCTGTCACTAGTAATGCATGTGCAATCAGAAGTAAACTCTACTGCCTTCACTTGGATTTCCTTCAAGGAAGGTATGTATAGAACTATAGCTCTAAAATTCATGAAAAGGTATCACTTAATGCAATAGCACCCTCCTTTTTGTGATACTAATTTTGAGTACCACAATGAGTATGTGTATTTCTTCTTTAACCAATTTAATTTCTTACACTTTTAGATCACCCAACAAACATTATATTGGCTAGTATACAGGTGAATGAATTTTTAAAGTAAAAGGCAGAGTGATAAAAAGAAAGATTAAAAATATATTCACTATTAATAAAGAATATCTTTATTAATATTTTAATAAATATTATTTTATTTGAAAAAGCAGCAAACAATTATAAAATAGCATATGCTAAAGATAAAACCAGCAAGGGGTAAAATAACACAGTATGTGAATGTTAAATAAAGCCAGCAGCAAAACAATGTATAAAAGCACTAAAAGTTTTTCTTATTTGTTGTAACAACTATGTACATTAGGAGGTTTTATAGCAATAAGAAAAGAATGTGAACTACATTAAAGTGAGAGTTGCTTCTTAAGATGACCAGATTTATTGTAAGTTGAGCATTTTTCTCTAATTTTTCATTGTAGAATTTCAATAAAAGGGAAAAAAGATTGTGGCTACATAGATTTGGATATATCAATTTCCAGGCATACCTATGAGATGTATGTGCATATGAAAATACAAATTTCTAAGAACTATAGATACACTTCAGTAAAAGTAAACCAAATATCCAAATACAGATCCATTTGCAAGTGGTGTCTGTACATCATCCATTCAAATGTTGAAGACATTATAAGGTCTTCAGTCCATTGCGTTATAGGAGGTGAGTAGTTATCATTCCAGTGTTGTAATATTGGGCTTTTAGCTGTCAGAAAGGTATAGGGAATCCATTTGTGCTGACAATATGTTATTTTCTGGGAAGCAGCTAGATCATTTAAATAGCATGACATCAGCAGATATTAAGGAGCGCTCCAGTACAAACTTGATCCATATAGTGACCTTTCCAAAAGGGGCAACTATTGGGCATTGCCAAAACATATGCTTAAAAGAAGGCCTAACTGTGTTATATCTCAAACAAGTAGCTGACTTAAATCAACTCTTACTAAAGGGGCACTTTGGCATCCAGGACATGATGCAAACGGTTTTGCTGAATAAGATACAACGTGAGCACCATAGATTGGATATAGAAGCCGAGACAGAAAATCACTGCTTAATCAAAATGGGACAGTTTCCCTGTTGCATTCCTGTTCAAAATCCTGTATATCTTATTTATTTACGAACAATATACATAGCCCTGCATTATGGGTTATTATTACATTGCATTTATAGCCCTCCTTTCCCTTGGCGAGGAACCCAAGGCAGCTTACGTTTGCTTATTTGAGGAAGACAAGGAAGCTGTAGAACTGGCTGGTCCAAATCTAGGTGCTAGCAAGTATTGCCAAACAGCCGTAGCTGCCAAATCATATTTAGCCTGCAAACAGAGCAGGGCAGCATCTCATGACCAGCACCCACCCGTTCATCCCAAGCAAGAAACACCTTACCCAGCCATGTCTGCCAACTGAGCTAATTTAGGCAATGGGTTGTATTTAAGCAGTTGCTGTGTGTATCCCAGAGAAAGATGCATGGAAGTATTTTAGGTTGCAGCGCTACGCACATTTAGAAAGAAAAACGTCCTACGATGCCGGGAAGTCGCAGGACTTTTTTCTATTTTAAACATACACAGGACAGCACGCTTACGTCTTCCCTTCTCTTTTTCTGTCCTAACAACGCAGAAAGGAGGCTCTGGCCAAAAGCTTGTCTCCACGCTGAGCTCCCGCAAGGCCTGGCTCCCTTGCGGCTCCCCGTTGCTAGGCGACCACCGCCCCCAAGCTGGGTAAGGGCAGAAGCCTCGCCGTGCCCCATCCCAAAATGGCCGCCGGGGAACAGCGCAGGTCGCTGCCTATAAATAAATAAATAAGTCACACAGGTGGCGGGGAGGGCGAGGAGCGAGCGAAGCGTGGGTTCGGCGCACGCGTGCTGTGGCCGGCGCTGTCAGCCCCGTCGACCGCTCAGTGCTGCTGCTGAGGCGGCGGCGGCGGCGGCTGGGGCTTCCCCGGCAGGAGGAGGGCCCGAGTCGGGGGGTTCCCCCTCCCCCCACTCCTCATCCCCCCGCCCCGAAAATGGCGAGCCACCTGCCCCCGTGCGTCGTCGACGGCGGCACCGGGTGAGTGACAGCGACGCGGGCTCCACGCTTCCCACGGCACTCCCCCTCGGCTGGCTGCGCCCTCGCCTCTCCGCCCTCCCCACCGCGCCTCCTCGCCGTGCCCAGCCCTGAGAAAGCCGTGCCCTGAAGCAGTGCCTCGCCTCGCCTCGGAGAAGCCGTTCACTCCCCCCGCCGCCAGACCCGTGGCGCGTCCACCTCCACCAGGCTCCTCCTCCTCCTCCAGCACTAGCGCCTTTGCTTTGCTTGTGACCTTTCCCTGCCATGCCCTCTCCTAAAAAAGCTCCCCTAACCCCCTTCATCTCAGGACTAGCCTCGGTCGCCCTCCTTCCGGTGCCAGCCCATTTTCCAGACTCTCTGCCCCAGCGAGGAATGCAAGGAGTGCACCCGCGCATGTTTGAATCCCCCATCCGCTACTTTGACTGCTGTGGCTAGTATTTGACACCTTTCTCCTCAGGAAGGGGGTATCTTCTTTGCTGCCCTCCCCATCGACCATCCTGGTACTACTGCTAGAGCAATGGGCTTTGCTCCTTCTTCCATCCTTTTCCTCTCCTTGCCCCCCGTCATTTCCGAGTTACTTTCCTGTAAGATCACCTTCTTCTAGTAAGTTCTCACCCCCAAAGTGGAAGTTCGCTCATGCCACGCCATCCTGTCAGTTAATCCAGGGAAACAGATTTAGGATGCATTGCACCCCTGTCTTCTACCTCGATGCACTTAATGGCACTCCATATATATGCCTCATCTTACCTCTTGGTAAAACTTCCCTCCTTACCTCTACTGTCTTAAGAAGCCCCCATCTAGCCTTAATGTTCTCTTCTAAAAAGGATAGGACAGATTCTATACTATTATTCTGCAGTCTGTTCACCCCACTGCTCTGGAACCAGCATGCCCTTCTTTCCATGAGGGTTTATTACCTGGATCAACTTCATTACTTTGAGGCACCCACAGCCTTGCAAACCCATTTGTGCTTTCTTGGGCCTGCCATCCACACAGTTTCATACCTTGAAAATTATCCTATCTCTAGGATTTCCACATCACTGGCATCCCTTGTATTCTCTTGGTATTGTCTGCCACAAACGGTCTCTTCTCTCAGCTGCATTTTTCCAGCTTTACTATTTCTTAACTTTTCCCCCAGCCTCACTTTGCACCTATTTGGATATGATGATGTATGAACGTAAGATTTGAGAATATGTTACTTATGCTAATGTTTTGTGTCTCCCCCTCCCCTTGTCAGCTTGTGGGATTTGTTCTTCTTGCCATCTGTGCATCAGGTTTGTAGTGATCAGATGCAGATGGATGAGGCGTTTATTATAGGAAGTAGAAGCCGTTTTCGTAAGTGCCGTGTGATGCTGTTAACTTTCTCTCTGTCAATCTCTCCTCCTCCTTCACTTGGGACAGGATTAAAGTATACATTCCTTTCCAAAATCCATTTCTTAAGCCAGAAATTCTAAAAACCTTCTGTCTTAGATCTTTTGCTCCCCCAACCTCCACGTTTCCTTACTTAAGGAATTACTTGCTCTTGTAGAAAGCTACAGAAGTGGAAGCCACATTTGTTACCAGATGCATTTCAAGACAACATGGAGCATGTTGAATTTATACTGTTGCAGTGTAAATGCTAAAGCACTCTCTATGTGGAGAACTTCTGGAAATGCACATATGTAGCTGCAGCTGTGTGCTATAGGCTGTGTAGTGAGTGTGCTATGAATTGGGCAGGGGATTGAGTAGTTAGTTTTCATGTAAAAGGGAAAAATACCAAGTTTTAGCCATGTGATTTCAATGATAATTCTGCAAAAGTGCTCCTGTGGGCTTTTGTGGGGGGTGGGTTGGATGCAGATGGGCCTTCCCCAGCCTGGTGCACACCAGATGTTTTGGATTACAGCTCCCAGCATTCATAGTATCATAAAATAATAGAACTGGAAGGGGCCAAGAAAGTCATTGGGTTCAACCCCCTACTCAGTTCTGGGCTCCAAGTTAAAGCATTCCTCTCATACAACTGTCAAGCTGTGAATACTTAATGAAGTTTTGGAAAGAGGTTTTTAAAGAGAATAGGAAAATACTAAGTTTGTAAATTGAAATATGCCCTGAGATCACATTATTTTCAATATTTGATAAGAAACAATGATGTTTGAATAATAATAACAAATTTAATAACAGCTGTGAGATTAATCATAGCTAAGAGCTAGAATGTAAAATATGATTATCAATTATGTGGTTGATCTTAGAGAAGTCTGGAATATAGCTATTAACAATAAATTAACTTGTGATATCAAAGTGAGGAAAGGGCATATAAAGAAAAAGAATTTTAATAAGTTTTGGGGTGCATTTATTCAATATGTGTTAAAAAAGAGAAAGGAATCGAACCTTCACAAGAATCATTGCAATTTTGGAAGAGCGGTTTTTCCTGAAAGAGTTTTTGGATGAGTTCTCAACATGTATTCTATAGTCCTGGTGACAGGGTACACACTATTTTTTAAGATCTATGGACACCTAGGATGGCCACATGCAGTAGAGACAAAGCCCATTTACCTGTAATAGGAAGAGCGGTAGAAATTGGGCAGATACAGCTTATCATGTTGCCGAGATGAAGCACGAAACTCTAACAAGCTATAGTTTTTGTAGGATTCTGAATTCAGAGATTGGATTCTGTGTTTGTAGGCAAAATGGTTTTTTCCTGTTAGAAATCGGAGGTCCTGCTTGACACAGTTAAGTTCTTTAGATATCATGTAAAACATATACATGAGCCCTTCTTGTCTGAAATAAGCAATCTGAGTTCTTGGAAGGAGAAGATTTCTTTTTTAATTTTCCAGTGAAAGTGGCTACTGCTTTTTTTCTTTTTCTATTTTTTAAAGATATGAATTATACTGAAGATACAAGGTAGACAACATCTTAATTGTATTAAGAGTTAGGCAGAATAAAAACCTTCACCGGTCCATTTGTTATTCATTAGCTGTTTTAGCCCTGAAAACCTGCTGAAAATGAGAGCTCTGAGAATATCAGTGCAAAGTATTCAACACTGGAGAACTTCCAGTGAGAGCATGTTCCATCCGTGGGAGATTCAAGGACGCTGCCTTTCACGCTGTCCTTCTGTCTAGACTTGGTGCAGTTACGGCATCCTTGGTAGAGCTTAAAGATTGCGGTGGGACGTGGTACAGAAAGCACCCTTCCAAGGACTTTAGACCTTTAGACCAGCCTCCCACACAGTTCCCTCTCCAGATATGTTTGGGAATGATGGGAGTTGCAGGCCAACATCTAAACGACTCAAGGTTAGGGGAGGGTGGTTTTTAGAGGCCAGCACTCAAAAGTGTTTCAGAGAGATCACAGATCCCTCAACTACTGGTTTAAGAAGGAGAATCATTATTTTGCTAAAATCTTAGTGGGAGTGAGGGGATGGGGCTCATGAATTTTTTAAAGGGCCTCCTAGCTTAATTTGAAAACTTTTTTATACCTTTACAGGGCAAAACAAGCATACTTTGAAAGAAAAATCTTTCCACTTATGGAAATAAGCTTATCATTTACCATTGATTACTTCACCGTATTGTATCAAATTGTATTTTAAGGCTGCTTTTTCATGTGCAGTGAAGATTCAGAAGTAGAAAAGGAATAGTTCTGTGTTATTGCACAGTATATAATAACCTATTATCCAAACTATTGCAGCAGTCCCTGGCAAGTGTTTGGTCCCTGGAGTTAGGAAAGACCTGTCGGTTGCAGGCAGGTTATATGCTAGCGGCACAGATATGTGTTTTATTGGTGGAATCCAAAACCATTTTGGAGGCTGCATGATTCTTTGATTAATGATCTCTCATCTGGCATCTAATTCCCAGGGTACAGCTGGAATATTTTACTGCATTTTCTCACCTTTCTCCAACAATGTTTAGATCTCTTTTAATGTGCAAGTACACAGCACTCTGCCTATCTCTTTCAACTCCACTTTTGGTTGTATAATCCTCTCTCTCCTCATGACAGGTTTCCCTAGCGATCGGTTTACATGCTGCCCTTGTGGGATAGAGTGATCTATTTTTAAACTGTTTGGGTAGACAAGCCTCTTTGATGTTCAAGTCAGACTGTCTGAAGTAGCATTTCATAGTCACTGTTCCTTTCAGCAAAGGACATAGTCGCTGTTACTACAATTTGAGAATGTTCTAACCTATGTGCTGATGCCCTGCTGCATTTGTCATGTTCCCCTTGGGAACAAGACTCCTTGGACTCAGTGGGGCTGAATTCTACATAAACATGCTCAGGATCTTGGTGTAAATCAGTACTACTTCTCAGAGTGAAGTTGAGGTATGAAATCAAAGCCCTGCACATCATGATGGTCACCAGACCAGTGACCACCTCTTTCGAGAGAGGGAGGGAGGGATGACAGTTGATTGATTTCACTTAATTTGCCAAAACGTTTGAGTCGTCATGCAACATTTCTGCCAGACCCAAAACGTTCTTAGTGTGGGATAGACTAAGGGAAAGAGATCCACTGTAGGTTTTCTTTAGAGGTGTTTCGTGTTTGCAGAATGGCTTGGTATGATTTTAGAAAATCCCAACTTCCGAAAAAAGGTGCTTCTGCTTCTGCAGGGTAGTTGTACAGTTTGAAACCGCTGAAGGCTTGATAGGATGGGATGGAAGGCACAGCAATCCCTCAGGCTGTTTCTTGGCAGATAAGTTTAAATGGTGGCCTTGTGGAACAATGATCAGGTTTTGGCTGTCTGAAAGGTGGTGTTGATTTTTGAAATAATACTAAGTCAAGTGAGAGTGAACTACTGTTTTAAAGCATTAAAACCTGTACAGATACAATGATTTGTTCTAAGGAGACATTTTTAGAGAAGCGAAAACTAAGTGTTGGAGTAGTAGAAGATGCTTTGCATACAGAATATCCCAAGTTATCGCTGGTCAGACAGTTCTCTGATAAATATGGAACAGGCGTCTTCTGGGCCTTAGTAATCTGTTGCCAATCAGTATAGAGAGAACACTTGGCTAGCTGGACCAGTCAGTTTAGTGGATAAAGCTCATCCTGATTATTAGTATCCAAACTAAACCTTGTAAGTGGGTTTAAAATATGGATTGGCTGTCTTTTAGGGTCAAAGGCAGCTTCCAACATTAAGAAGTTACATTACGTAAACAATTCAATGACAAGGATAACATCTTGTGTTTGATGTACATTGTCCTACTGTCTTTATTTTATTGTAAGTTTCAGCAAAACAAACACATTAAAGTATTTGTACATTATTTCTTTTCTGATTGCTGGGGTGTAGGTCTGTCAGGGAAGAGACAGGGTATGTTAGACAGATCTGATTAAATCAACTAAGTCAGGTTGAGTCCATGCAGACAAGGTTCCTTACCAAATTGGAATGTTCTACTCCATTGCTAAGTAGCATTTTTAGATTTCTTTTAAAAAGGGGGGGGGCAGTGCAAAACACCGTATTCAGGTTTTTTGCTAGGTGCTCATATGGCCCTTGGCTGGCCTCACTTTCCCAAGTATGGGTAATCCAAGGGCATATTGGCATGCCCTGCCAAAAGCCAAAAACTTGGGGGAAAGGGTGTTTGGGGGGATACCCCCCAATTCTGCCCCTTTCCATGTGGTTTCCCCCCAAGGGAGGGCTGAGAAACCCCAAATGTCCCCTCAGCTTTGGCATGTACTCCAGGCTGATAGGACCCCGGGAAGTGAGAAAACCAGAGGGAATGTACAGGGGCAAGCCCCTGCCTCTTCCCATGGTGGGTTCTCCCAAGTGTTGGCAGTTCCTTGTGGCTGCTGACCAGAAGCAGCATGCCTTCCCCAAAGAAACTAGGGGATTGTGTATAAAAAGGGGGAGACGTTGATGGCATGTTCTCCTGCAGAATTGCGCTGAGCCTGCCTGTCGTACTTTGACAACAAGCTGCCGCGTGAATGCGGCGGAGCGGGTCCTGGGCGGCCTGCGGTAGTCACCTGCCGGACTTGGGCAACCCATTGCAGCTTGTCCAGTCCCTACTGGTCTTTCATGTTGCACTATAGTAACAGTCCCAATCATGCTAAAGAACTTGGTTATCTTTGTGCAAATGGGAGCTCAGGTTTTAAGAAGAACAGCTCCACTGTTGATTGCATTGAATAACATTCAGTATTGGATTTTAATTTTTGTTTTAATAATGGGAAATTATGGGCGGCCCCCTTGAGATTCCGGTGGGCATCATTTGGGGACATCTCCCAGATGTCCCCCCAAGAGATTAGAAAAGCAGCCTTTAATAGTGGAGTTCATGATTTGGAAAAAACAACAGCAAGACTAGACAAAAGTCACAGCTAATGTGAAGTGGCTCACTGCAGCCAAGGAAGCATTGCCTTGGGGTTATTTTTAGTAGCCTGGTAAGAGGCTTTTACCCTGCCTTTCCATGGGACTTGCAGAGGAATGGGAGCCCCCTCTTCCAGGAGCAGCACAGGCATGCTGGCTAGTAGAAAACTCTTGCCACTAGCCTCTTAGAAAGCTAGCAAAATCGTCATTCTCATCAAGTAGCCAAAACATGAAGTGAGAACCCGTGTTGGACTGGGGAACTGGGCAATCCTGGTTCTAGTTGCCATCAACTAAGAAATTCACTGGATGACTTTGGGTCAGTCATGCCCTCTCAGCTTAGCCTACCTGGCAGGACTGTTGTGAGGATAAAAATGGAGTGGAGAGGAAGATTATAAGTCTCCTTGGATTCCTTGCAAGAAGAAAGAAGGCAGAATATAAATGTAATAATAACAGTAACAGTAATGATTCCAAAAGCGACCTTTCCCTCCCATGCTAGTCCTCAGTGTTTCCCAGAGGAGGCTGGTGACTCCTAATCCACTCCAGCTTTTATTTTAAGCTGTGTAGATGCTATCCATGGTGCTGTACTCCATCTCCAAAATAGATTAAACACCCTAGAGTACTATGGTAGCTCCTATAAAGCTCAGAATAAAAGCTGCAGTGGATAAGGAGCTCCACTGATGATTTGACCAAACAACTTGTCCTTCTGCTGTTTGGCTCACTTACCTGTATGGAATTTCTGATCACCTGTGGCTGCCAGGTGAGTTGTTAATACAAGGCTGGTCCAAGCACCATGTGTTGAATAAGAAATCTGTTGTAGCTTCGCTTTCTGTTGTAGCTTTGTGTAAACACAATCTTGACTTTTTAAAAATAATACAAATTTTAAGACTATTTGCCTTGCTTGTTTTAGGTATACAAAACTGGGTTATGCAGGGAATACAGAGCCGCAATTCATTCTCCCATCATGTAAGTCTTTCTTTGCTTACTATCTCAAATATGTGCCCATTGATAAAAAGAGATGACCAGTTTGCTGCTCAGCTGTTGAGTGCAGCTTTGTTTGGGTGGGCCGTGCATCTCTCTCTTTGTGGGAAATGGTGTTTACTACACTGGTGTCCTTGGCTAGTGTATAGCTGTAGAAAAAAGCTTGCTTTTCTTCTTGCCAAGACTGGCCCTCATTAAACCACTTTCTGGTTGGCTACAGCAAGGCCGGTTTCCTTCCTATCTCCATTGTGTTGCTGCCAGGGATCTGCCTTTGCCAACAAGTGGCTTCCTCTTTACCTGCCACCATGGAGACCGCTTGAATAATCACGTGGGAGTCTTCCGGTCAGCTTGAAAGCTGAATTGCAGATGCCACCTGGCTGCCGGATTGTGTATTTGAACTGGCTGGTAGTTTAGAGTTTTTAAATTGGTTTGTTCATGAGATTAATTCCTTGTAAAACTTTGATGTAGGTATTGCAATAAGGGAATCGGCAAAAGTTGGTGATCAAGCACAGAGGAGGCTGACACAGGGGATTGAGGATCTGGATTTTTTCATTGGAGATGAAGCCCTTGACAAGCCCACCTATGCTACAAAGGTAAGGCTACACATGTTGAGGTATCCTTTGAAAAGAACCTTTTGGAGGCAGCTATTTAGTGTTGCAATATGTAGCTAAAACATCAGTTGTCCTGCAGTTTTAAGCAGTCTGGTTCCACAGTACTTCTTTTATGGGTGCACAGTTAGGATTTAGTTAGTAAATTCAAGCTGGGTGCACAGAATTGATTCAGATTAGCTAAGATTTCATCTGTCTCACATTCGTCTGTGCTAACATTTCTTGCTCCTTTAAGGGTGTGATCCCATGTTTGACTGTGAAATGCTGGGAGTTGTAGGAATTTTAAGGCACATATAGAATTGTGCCTGAAATAACTCCACTTTTTCTCCCTTGAACTCCTTCCCAGCACTTCCACTTTCAATTCTCTCCTTCAGACTTTCAATGTCTTCAGCACAACCCTTAATCCTTTACTCTGACTGAAATGAAATCAAAGTATGGAATGCTATATTTGTGTGTTTTCATCTCCTGTTAGCCTTGATTTTTTCTTCCCTCCTCTCCTTTCCTTACCTTTGCTACTGCCTCCCAACCAAGGAGAGGCCAAATAGCCCTCTCTCTAGCCTCCTGCCCATGTCTTTCATGATGCTACCCGCTTCCTGCCTGCTGCCATTTCTGAGTTTTGCAAGAAGGATAAACCATTTTAATTTTTTTTAGTTAAGACTTTTCTATACCTTCTTTATTCTAGAGAATAAACTCTTTATTACGATGGCATTCTAGAGAATCTCATGACAGTTTACAAGAATTAAATAGCAAAACAGTTAAAAACAGCAAACGTGCTCCATGGAAAGAACGGAAATAAAAGAGCATCCACAAAACTGATAATTTGGTTGTAGGGCTAGTGCCAGCTTTTGGGGGAGCCTTGGGGAACTTGTGGGTGGGCACAACTGCTGGGAGGTAGGCAGAGCTGGTGACAGGAAGAGAAATAGGGGATTATGGAGAGTGGAAAGGATGCTGGGAACTTTCTTACCGAGTGTAGGGGCTGGCTTTTAGTGAGCAGGCCCCATAATGGCTATAAGCCCTAGAACTGACCTCTCTCACCATCTCTTGCATTGGCTACCAGTATTTAAGCGCAGCAACAATGTTGTGGTATTCTGCTTAGGCTTGTGCATCAGGCATAAGGGTTAGGGTACTCCAGAGCTGCATTGAACTGCCCTGCATGTTTAGGGTCAGGGTTAGGCATACAGCTAAAACTGAAACTTCATTTCAGTGGCCTTCATACTGAGTTCCCTTCAGTGGAAGTCAGTGGGGCAGACTGTGCTCATGAGGAGCTTTTCCGCTGAATGTCATTTCCTGGTGTTCCATATCTGTTGGATGGAGGCTATGGAATAGACGCCTACTCATATGAAGTAAATGCAATGTGCTCATTCAGTAGTAAGATACCTTGCATCCGTTTGCCTTTGCTTCAGTGGCCGGTCCGGCATGGTATTGTGGAAGACTGGGATCTTATGGAAAGGTTCATGGAGCAGGTCATTTTTAAATACCTTCGAGCTGAACCGGAGGATCACTACTTCTTAATGGTAAGCCAGAAAGTTATGTCATTCTTAGCTTGGTTTTTTAACCTCAGAGCAGTTTCGCACATTACACAGGTCATACCCAGATCTCATGTGGAGTCAAGGCACTTCTGTATTCCTGATGTATGTACCTGTGTGATGTACTTTTTGCCATATTCACATGTTATAGATGTGTACTCTTAAATATCTTAGTGTTATACCTAATTATATAGTGTGTGAAGAACTACCTCAAAAGGATTTTTATGGTGTTAGGCTTTCATCCATTTTTAACTGCTGTAGGAGCACTTTATAAAATCACACAAGAAGTTTATTTCAATAAATTTGTTTAGCAAACTGCTTAGCTTGAGTGCTTTTAATAATAATAAAAAGCTTTGAGTATCTTGATTAGATTACAGATGTTGCTTGAAGTAATTGACTGATTTTTACTTAAACAAAGGGAAGCATTACAGAGAAATGGGGCAAAATGTCACTTGCCAAGCTGCTGTGTTTTAGCTGCTATATGCACAATTATCTATCGCCTTCTACAGAAGCTTTTCATTGCAGGCAACATTAAAGTGCTTCAATGCAAGGTATTTTCTGAAGATGCAATCAGTGATTTTTATGTTTATGTGAGGAAGTAATGTGCAGAATGTAAAGTTAATGCTGCTCTTTAATTTGTTGTTTTTAAACAAATGTGTATCAGTAACCAAGGTACCAAATTAGTTCTGCTTTCAGAATTGTAAATGGCTGCATTTGAGTTACACATCGCCTTCCGATTTTTACTTCTTTTCCCCATATGGATTGGCTTTGGAGTTCTTTTTGACTTGCCATTTTTCCCCATAGGAACCTTGTTAAGTTCAGGTCAAAAATTGATCTAGTCTACTCTTTCTAAGAGTGGCTGGCAAGATTTCTAAGTGAGGGGCAGGGAGTTTCTTGAAAGTCAGATGTTGCTTCCACGTAGATGGTGTATGGCACCATGACAAATGTGTGTCCCTAAACCCTTTCCCCCATACCTCTCCAGTCAGTCTTGAAATCGGGCTGTGGAGAAAACAACTTTAAAAGCTGTCTATGGGGCACCTGGAGGGAAGAATCTATATTAGACCATCTGAGACTCTTGGTAAGAGGATGGTATAGAAAAGCTTTAAATAAATAAACAAAATGGGGAGGAAAAACTGACCCCTGTACATAGACCCTGCAGCTGCCTTCCAGTTCCCATACTAGTGACACCCCAAGATTATTCTTTCTCCTGCCCAGGTGATTGGTGCTGGGACACGATTCAGTTTCGGGGGGGGGGGGAGGCAATCAGGGGAAGCCCTCTTCCAATTTTTTGTTCTTCAGCTGAATTGCACCCTGGTCAGTTTGCCAAGTAACGGTTTGGGGTGGAGCTGCAGAAAGTGCAATTCTACTCAAAGTAATGCAGAGTTCCTGGCACAGGGATATATATCCACATGGGGAATATATGAATTAGCTTTTGGGGTATTCAATAATAGTATGAACATGCCCTGGCAGAAACCCTCAGCTGGAGAACATGAATGTGCACATAACAAAGGAACACATTGGGAAGAAGTCTGAACAATGCTTCCTGCTGACCAGCCTTTCTCTATGGAAACTCAATGAAGTTTCCTCAGCCCTCTTAATTAGCTGAAATAATTGTGTTAGCCCTGCGATGGGCAACCTTTGCTTGCTCTGGCAGCTGCATGTGATACTGGAGGGTGAGCTCTGGGCTGCCATAGGTGTTTTAGGAAATTAGCTTCCCCCAGAATTCCCTTGGTTGGCCCCCAGTGTAAGGAAAGCTGTTTGTTTTTATTCACAAGACTAATCTCTGCAAATGCAGCTAGAATACTCTTATTTTAGTCCATAATAGCCACATGCAAATTTTAATTGCACAAAGCGCTGGACCTTGTGGGCCTGATAAAATTGCTAGTTCAATATTATGTTGGACCTTTGCCCTACCTTTTGAGTCATGCTGAAGTTATTGAGGTCAGAAGATTGTGCAGACCTCTGGCATTAAATAGCAATACTGGAACGAGGGCTGAGGAAAGGTTAAATTAAATGTGAAATGAGCCACAGAATCTCAGCTGCCAAGGCTGAGGGAGTGATTCGCACTCCCAGGTTATCGCTGCAGATGGGCTCAAGGACGCCTGGCTGAGAGCCCCTGGCCTTGGACAGTAATGGTGTGAACTGCTAGCATCATTCCATCTGCCAAGACCGGGGTGCGGGGGGGGGGGGTGTTAAAGAAGTCCTGGATACAGAGAGCCCTTTGTCTCTTGCTGCTTTTCACCTGGTGTGAGGCCTTGCTCCCTGACCAAGCTGAAGACTTCATCGCAGGGGGATCTGCTGTACTTAAAGCATCTTTATTTTGTTTGTCTCTGTGGTGCAACAAAGCATTTGTGTATGGAGGGGGCAGTCAAATCACTGTGTTTGGCTCATATTGTATAATTTTACTGCTAACCACCTGCTCTTTCCCATTTTCTTTCTTTATTCCACTCCCCTCTCCCCTTCTTCATGCGTTAATAAACTTTCCTTCATCTGATTTGATCTTTGGTGACTCATGGTACTAAATCTGGTGCCGTAGCCACAGGGCAGTGTTTGGGTTTTGGGCAGGTGCTGTCCAGCAATGGTGGGACAGAGGAGGGACATTCTCTGGCTGGCCATTGCAAATACAAAAAATTGGCCAAAGTGTATCATTCCAGACCTACCTTTTCCACACGCAACCAAGTATTTTGATAATGTTTTGGTACAGTGTAAGGACACTTATTTTTAAAAACCGGGTTCATTACACTCCAGGTTTCACATGGGACTTTTCTGTTTTTCTTGTTTTGTATCCTGAGAACCTCAGCAGGCTTTCTGGTATCAAAGCCAGACATAATAAAACATGTTTGATGTGTCTTTATAATAATGTTGTTTTAAAACAGACTGAACCACCACTGAACACCCCTGAAAACAGAGAGTATCTTGCAGAAATCATGTTTGAATCTTTTAACGTACCAGGACTTTACATTGCTGTTCAGGTAAAAAGTCAGTCTATCTTTTCTGGAGTAATGACTTAGCAGAAGAAAGGTGTTTTTTTCTATGTATATAACCTAAGGAACGCATTTCTTTGGGAGTGAAACTGTTGTTAGAGAGGACTAATCCTTGTTGCAAAAGTACCAATTTGTTTTCCGCATTCTTTTCCTGGGCCTCACCAGGTCTAGTGCCCCTTACAACTGCTGACTGGCTGCTCTTGTGTGATCAGCACGTGCTGAATGGCCGCTGTGGTTCCACATTGCACCCAGTAAATAAGTGCAGCAAAGATGAAAGCAAGCATGTTCTTTAATGATGTTTTGAAATGGTTTCCTGACTCTGGCCTTTCCCATGGAAGAGCACATTTTACCCACAATTCACAGGGCATCTCCCAGACCCAGCGAGGGCTGGGGGAAACAGGAGGCTGGGAAGCAAGCTTGAGGAGGAGCGAGATGGTGGAAGGTTTTATCCTGTGGGATTAAAAGAATGGCCTCTCCTTGTTCTGTTGGGGCACAAGCACTGCAACAGAGCAATATGTTTCCATTTTTGCATGCTTTGAAGCTCCAGACCTGGTGGGGAGGCTCAGCCAGGTGTTCTGTAAACCACTCTGAAGAAAGTGCAGGTGAGAGGGATGCCCTTCTAGCTGCTTTAAGCCTTCTGTGAGGTTCACAGTGTCAAGGAGCTTGAAAAGCCCTCCTCTCCTAGATGGTGACTTTTTGGTTTGGCTCTGTTGTACAATTGTGCCTCTGCAGGTCCCTCACCCCGCTCAGGTCAGTGGGAGGGTCCACATGGCACTTGAAAACCCTTGGGGATTTTAACCACTCCCTGTGGTTGATGTTCCCCTGTGTTCATGGGTGTTGTGCTGCAGTTATATTCTTTGGATCTCCTCAGGCAGTGCTAGCCTTAGCGGCATCTTGGACTTCGCGGCAAGTTGGGGATCGTACTTTAACAGGAACCGTCATCGACAGTGGTGATGGGGTAACCCATGTAATTCCAGTGGTATGTATATGTATTCAGTGTTTGGGGCTAGGCTAACTATGAATTAAATAGCACAGTTGCATTCTCTTGTAGATAATTTTTGTTCTTCTACACTTATTAAGCAAATGTGCTCAACATTCAGTATCAAAATGCACAGATCATGTGGATCAAGCAAGACCATAATGTTTTCAAGTTTGTTATGCAATCACATATGAAGATCTTGTTTGCCATTTTAAAAGTATCTTATTGAATGGGCTCATTTGTTCATGGTCTGCTAGAGCTAGGCACCCAGTAATAATTTGGATTCCTGGTTTTTGAACAGCAGCCTCTCATGGTCAGTTGTAAGCAATGTTTGAAATGCCATTCAGTTTTAAGTACAGTTTATTTTATGTTGACTCCATCTTTCTGCCTGTACAAAGGCTCCAAAGGTAAAGCCAACTTAAACTTAAAAATGGACAGCAAATATAATCAATTTCAAGAGCTTAAAAAAGAACAACAAATGATTTAAAACTGGTGTCTGTGCATTAAAACCAAAAACAGCACAGCAGGAAAAAATAGCAGAGACCAAATTCTTAAATGAAATGTTCTGGACAATGCATGTGAACACGATGATGGAAGAGGCCAACCCACATTGTCTGGGTGCCACAGGTGAGAAGTCCCCATCTTCTGTCTCCACCAAATTACCTACAAAGTCGGTAGAGCTTGAACCAGAGTTCCAGTTGTTGAACACAGTGGGTGGACACTTTCATGCAGGGGAGGGTCCTGAATCAGTTAGGACTTCATAGGTTATACTAAGCACTTTGAATTTCAACCAGAGTCCAGAGTTTGTTCTTAGCTACTGCATTTTGCACAGCTGTAGTTCCACATGCCTTTCATAGTCAGTCTGTGCAGTCTGGTGCTTTATAGGAGAGGGCCTGCTGGTAAGAAAAGGGCAAAAATCCCACAGGGCATTTGTAAAACCCTTGGGTGTACAAAAAATAGCTTTTTGGATCCAAGCCCAGGTTGATTAATATAGCTCTTTCCCCCTTAAGGCATACTTTAAATTTGTGTTCTGTTGCTAGTTTAATTCTTCTGAGACTCTGAAGAAGCTAAAATTCCCTTTGCAGAATGAAAGTTGCATTGGGTACACGCAACCATGTTGCTTGCATCTGTGCCTCACCCTTTTGGCCTGAATTACACTGCACATTTGCAAATGCATTGTCTTGACAATTTGTCATGAGCACAAGTCATGTTTTGGCACGCCCATTGATGCCTGCCTAATTTCCTTTGGGTGGCAGGAATGTCACATTCAAGTCTCTGGTCATGAAGTGATATTTCAGGGCCTGCTGTGCTCTGGCTGCTATTCAGTCCCGGTCAGGAGAGAATGGGCTGCCACCAGCAAGAGAGGTGGAAGTAACACATTTTTTTATAAGACCCAGAGCCCTACAAAGTTTTAATACATAATAATTTTGTGGCTGCAGTCCTCTACTCAGTTGGGAGTAACTACTGAATGAAGGTGGATTTACATTTGAGTAGACATAAGTAGTTCTGTAAACCCTGGGAAGGTTAGATGATCACCCTCTTTAATGTGTTTCAAACAGGCAGTGAAGATTTTGTCCCCTTGCACTTTTAATGGTGTTTAATTTCTTTCCGTAATTTTAACATTGCTCTTTATTTTTAACATTACTTTTATGGTACTGAAATATTTTTCATTTGCTCTTACAATTTTATGAATTAAGTTTTACTAGTGTATCATTTGATTTCTATGTCATCTATTTTGGCAGAGGGATGATTAATAAATGTGAAATTTGGCCTAAAATTATGAAGCAACAGTAATTGTTGTAATTGTTGCTGTTCATGAACATTTTTTTTCTCCTATAGGCGGAGGGTTATGTCATTGGAAGTTGCATCAAACATATCCCCATTGCAGGTAGAGATATTACGCATTTCATTCAGCATCTCCTAAGGGAGAGGGAGGTGGGGATTCCACCTGAACAATCCCTGGAGACAGCTAAGGCCATAAAGGTAAACATTTTTGTGGAAATAACCAGATTCCCCAGAAATATCTAAGAGATTGTCAGTGAATTGTTTAAATATGAATAATGAAGGCTCTTGTGGCACCTTAAAGACAGACATATTATGACGGCATTTTGTTAGCCTTTAGTAGGTCACAAGATTCTTTACAGTTTTTCTGCAACTGACTAACACTGATACCCCTCTGGCAAATATTGAAGTGTAACAGCTTCAACTAAACTTGCATTCAAACGTATCTAGATAACCCTGGATCTTCATTCTGTCTTCCAGCGTGTTCGCTATTCCATCCAGTTTTGTATTGTCTGCAAAACTGATCGTTCCTTGTACTTCCTTACCTAAATCATTAGTAAGGCTGTTGAAGAGCACTGGGTCTAGGAATGAACCCTGCGGCACCGCACGGCTTTCCTCCTGTTTGAGGTCCATTGATGAGCACTCTTTGCGTCCTATTTAACAGCCAATTATGGAGCAACCTAATAGTTTTTCTATCTTGCCCACTTTTTGCTAATTTGCTTATCAGGGGCACTATGTGGAAAGCTTTGCTGAAGTCAAAGTATATTATGTCCACTATCTTGCTGCTAACCATGTGGGAGTTACCCAGTCAAAAGTGAGATTAAATTAGTCTGATGACCTCTTCAGCCATGTTGCAGAATCAGTTTTTGGCGGACTGTGATTTGAATAATTTCCTTTTAATCCGATCGAATGACTGTGTTTCTCTTCATTGTATTTCCAGGAGAAGTACTGTTACATATGCCCTGACATAGCAAAAGAATTTGCCAAGTATGATATAGACCCACGTAAGTGGATCAAGCAATATACAGGCGTCAATGCAATCAACAGGAATAAATTTATTATAGATGTTGGCTATGAAAGATTCCTTGGTCCAGAAATCTTCTTTCATCCAGAGGTAAGATTGTTGCTATAATAATGGAAGGTAGGAACATGCTGACTCAGGGAAGGGCAACTCATTTGAGCTTGATGTAGACAGTTCCCCTGCTTCCGGTCTGATCATTGGAAATGGGCTGAGTTGGGGCTTTTTCTGTGGACTTCCATCTCTGGTCTATGGTTTGTATACTGAAAAAGAAAAGACATTCAAGAAATGTATGCAAATTGCACAGCATGTGTAACTATAAGCATTTCGTGCAAATCTGAGTGTTTTGCAAAAATCATCACCCAAAAAGCATGTGTGTATAGTGCAATCAAAGACAGGCTGGACATGCACATGGTGGGCCTGTCGTGAATGGAGCCGGCTGGTGCTGGAGGTCAGACTAGATGGACCGGGAGGCCCCTTCTGACTCTCTCTTTTTCTTTGTTTCTAATTTGTGTAAAAGAAGCCAATTTGCATGAATTGACACCTGCAAGACTCATGGTTGTCACCTGATTTGTACATAGAAACAGAGCGAGTCAGAAGGGGCCTCCTGGGCCATCTAGTCTGACCCCCGGCTCCAGCCAGCTCCACTCATGACATGCCCACCATGCACATGTCCAGCCTATCCTTGAACACCCGCACTGATGGGGCCTCAACGAGCTCTTGTGGAAGCCCATTCCACACCCTTGGGGTCCCAACTGTCAGGAAGTGCTTCCTGGCATCCAAACGAAACCTTGGCTCCATGAGCTTTGCTCCGTTGGAGCGCGTCCTGCCTTCCTCTGCAGGGGAGAACAGGTCTCTACCCACCTCCATGTGATGCCCCCTCACATACCTGTATGTCGCCAACGGATCCCGTCTGAGTCTCCCCTTCTCCAGGCTGAAGAGACCCAATTCCCTCAGTCTCGCCTCATAGCATGTGGTCCTGGTACAAATCATGCCAGGACCACATGCTTTCCAGGATGCTGATTCAGGAAATTTGGGCAGTTCTATGCGAATTTCCTAGTGGGTGGTTGTGGTTTATTTTTAAAATGTGCAGACCACAGTCAGTCTTAGAGACACAAATTCATGAAATGGCTTGACTCGCACCCTCATGAGGCGTCATCAGTGACATGCTGGTGACCCAGAATCTGGAGGACTGAATTGTGAAAATCCACCAGGTTTTCACCCCCTTATTGGATTCCTTACACTTCTTTAGGAAGAGATGGAATGGAACTTCTGGTAGCAGAGCACCACCTTGCGGCCAAATAAAAGCAAGCTGCATTACAAAGTGTGCTTTCTCATATTGCTCTAGTTATAATGACTGCAAATTCATTCTATTGCATTTGAACTGAGTGAACTGCATTTGGCTGGAGCTGGTTAACAACCTCTGAATATTTCTTAGGGTGAAATAGTTGCTTGGCCAGCAGTTAATAGCTATCATGGCTATGCATGTGAGGCATAAGAAGTAGGGGGCTTCAGCTGCCAGAGTTAACTCCATGGATCTTAGGTAATAGGCTCTTGGCTGCAAAAGCTCATGCTGGGTTCCCTTGTTAGTCCACCGAGTGCCACAGGACTCTCAATTGTTTTTTGGTGTAACAGACACACTTCCCTGGGTGTTGTGCCTTGTAAATTGCCCCCCCCCCCCCACCAAAGTTTCTAGCCTGCATGATATTTTATTGGTTTGCTGGGAGCAGGGGCACAGACCTCTGGCTCTCATGTGGCGACCCACTGCATCTCTGTGCAGCACCTGGAGAGCAGGGCCGTCTTTCCTGGGTGCCTGCTTGTTTTCTGTGCTAGCCCGCTCACCTCTACGCACCTGTGCCTACCACTTGTCTCATGAGCCTCTCAAGGGGGTGCTGATGAGCAAGGCTTCTTCAACCTTGTTGCTTCTGTTGTGTGTCATTGTATGTCTAATTTAGTCAAACATGGTGTCTCTGCCCATATTTGTGCATCTTTTTAGTTTGCCAACCCTGACTTCATGGAGTCCATTTCGGATGTGGTTGATGAAGTGGTACAGAACTGCCCCATTGATGTTCGGCGCCCTTTATATAAGGTAAAGTTTTAGAGTGGGTTTTTTGAGGGTGGAGAATAACTAAACAAAAAACCAAACCAGAGTGTGCTATTCGGATAGGCAGTGTTGTTTTCACTGAATGTCTGATTTAATATTACTTCTGAAAGTCCAACATGAGGAAAAGGAAAAAGATCACATGGGAGTCTGCAAGTAGACCAAAGCATTTCAAGAGTACAGCTAACAACATTGAGGCCAATGATAAAGAATTATTTAAATATATCAGAAGCAAGGTACCAGCTAGAGAAGTTGGATCACTGGATGATACTTGGATTAAAAGGAGTACCAGAAGGAGATTGCAGAACAGAGGAATGAAATCTTTTCATCTGTCTTCGCTGCAGAGGATATAGAACAGGGTGGAAATAAATTTTTCCCTGTGGGGCATGTATACTGTGGGGTCTCACAGGGTTCCATATTAGGATCAAAGCTTTTCAAGCTGTTAAGAAATGATCTGGAATCAGGAGTGAGTAGTGAAGTGAACAAGTTTGCTGACGGCACCATAGTGCTTAGAGCATGGGTCCTCAAACTATGGCCCACCATGCCCATTTGTGTGGCCTGCCTTAGCGGTTTTGGCCAGCAACTTGCTCGTGGGGAGATCGTTTTGGACTCACTTGGAGAAAATGATCTCCTTGCGAGCAAGTCGCTTCTGGGCGCGCGCATGGTGAGGCGCCAGCCCGCTTGCAAGGAAATTGTTTTCTCCGAGTGAGTCTGAAAGGATTTCCCCCAAGCAAGCTGCTGGCTCACCATGTGGTGGCTTGCTCACAAGGAGATAGTTTTCTTTGATCTGTGTGCGCCTGTCCCTGCCTCCCCGCATGCGCCCCCCCCGCACCCCCTGCCCGCACCACCTTGGCGGCCCGCGCCCATCGCCTGCACCTTTCAACTGGCCCCCTGTTCAAAAAGTTTGAGGACCCCTGGCTTAGAGTGTTAAAACCAAAGGGAATAGTGAGGAACTCTATTCCTCCAACAAGATCTCTGATCAGGGAAAATAGGCTTCAACATGGCAAATGCTTTTCCGTGTAAGCAAGTGTAAACCAATCCCAGCATCAGGTACAAGTGGATGAACTAGCTGTCATTGACCAAGAGAGGGATTTTGGTTGACTGCTTGACGAAACTATGTGCCAGCACATGGCTGCTGTGAAAAGGACAAACTGCATGCTAGAAATACTCAGGAAAGGAACTGAGATTATAATTGCCAAGTTCATACCAGCCTTATACAATGTTATGGTGAACCATATGTGGAATACTGCACACAGTGCTGGTCACTGCGCCTGAGGAAGGACATCATAGAGTTGGAAACAGTGCAGAGAAGGACATCTAGAAAGATAAGGGGGTTGGAGAACCTCTCCTGAAAAAAGACATTGCAACAACTTAGATTGTTTAGCTTAGAAAAATGGCAAGTAAGGGGAGATGCAATTTAGGTATACAAATTTACACATGGTATGGAGGGAGTGGAGAGGTAGACATAAGACTAGAACCTGGGATCATCTCATGAAACTGACTGGTAGGAGATAGTACAGATAAAAGGAAGGACTCCTTCACACAGTGTGTGCTGAAACTATGGAATTCACTTCCACAAAATGTTGTGATGGCCACCAATCTGCATAGTACTGGGAAAATTCCTGGAGGAGATGCGAGGCAAGTTCTGATGGCCATATGCTGCACCCAGGATCAGAGGCAATACCCCAAATAATTTGCTTAATGCCATCTAAGCTGGGGTCTATTTTGCGGCAGTGCGTCCTGCAAGTAACTTGGGTACTCACTCTGTAAAAGATTGACTCTTGTACTTGCCTAGGTATTCATATTTAGAATTTGTATCCATGCTTAGAATCATTGACAGTTTCTGTATTCGTGTCTCAAGGTGCAATGCTATGCATGTTTAGATAGAAACTACAGTGCCCAGGCTGGAAGGCTGAGAGCTGCAGGTCTTTTTTTCTGTCTGAGAGGCATAGGATCGCACTCTGAAGAACCAAAATAAGGAAAAATGAGATGGAAGGCAGCCCTGCGGGGAAAGAACAGAAGGAATAGGAGAGCGTCATTGTCATGTGAACTCACTGTGAAGGAATGAATTGTTAGCCCTTTGGTAATAACGGAGACTGCGGCTGGTCCCTGCTGGCATCTTCCCTTTCTGTATCTTAAGTATTTCTGGGGCATGTTTGTCATTTAAATACTAAATGCTGTATTTGTGAGCGCCACTGCACTTTCCCTAGCAGGGAACCTCGTAGAGTCCGCTTTTATTAATTGTGCCTTTCCTATGGTTCCTCTTTCTTAAATCTCTTCCAACTGGGATTAAATTACTTAGATCTTCCCTGGAGTGCTTCATATATATTTTTTCGGTTATGCTGCTTTCCAAACAGCCATCAGTGTTCTCTTATATTCAGGTGACAAATAGTGCTCTTTTCACAAAGGCAGGACATGCGAGGAAGTAATCAAAAATGATCAATTGATTTCTGGGTAGCCCAAATCCCTACAAGCATAGCGGGTTCTCATTTTGATAACGGAGTTTTTTTCTTTTTTAAAAAACCCCTAGTTAAATAGTAATGTCTTTGGGAATTCCTGTTGCTGTTTGGTCATGAATTTATATAGTAGCAAATACAAATTTACTGGAAGACCAACTGCAGTGAGACGTTAGAGGTGGAAAAGCTATAAAACAAAAAAGGCTGCATATCATTGCTGTGAATTTACATCAATATGTATTTAAATTATTTAGCTACTGTGATCCTGGTGAAAAAAAGAATGCAATCTTATGACATTAATGTTCTGGAGATGTAGGAGCCTTCCTTCTCTTCTAAACTTTTCCAGGCAGTGGGGTAGGAATGACGGAGATATTTTCACTTCTTATTCATCTTGTTGTTTGTAGCCCGTGTACTTTTCTTGAGACAGGGATAAAAGCTGGAAGGTTTGTGGAACCAGCAGATTCACAATTGTCCTCTTCTCTTCCTGCCCACCATTGTCCCGTATTTCCACCCATCCAATAAACATAATGAATTTACTTTAAGATGAAGAACTGGTGTTCTTTAGCAAAAAAGTGTCTAGTGTTAAAAGAACTTGGTAGAGGAACAGGAGAGACTTCATTTCAGAACCAAATTGTACCCAGTTCCTTTTGCAGTGTTCAAACTGACAGGTGAGCAGGCATGAACTTGTGAGTGAATATTCCATAGCTTAAGAGCATATTTATGTTTTGTGTCCAGAACATAATATTATTAACCTCAATTAGCTGTCTGCTAAATTAGTCTTCTAGCATCAACCTTTTTCGTTGTTGCAAACATCCCTATCAGTTGAGTCATAAGGGAGGCAAGACGCTTATTTAATTTAGGGTGTTTCTAGGCATGTCTGCTAGTGCTATCAGTCAAAAGGTATTGTGTGGTTACTCTGTCTTTCTGCCTTCTCCTCCTGAAATGATTTTTGTGCAAGAAGCAGTGAGAAAACAGGAGATGGTTACAAGTAGAAGGGTATGATATCTCAACACCTTGTAAATTCTGTGAATGAGGCAGGTGATGGTATAATAAAAGCCTCTTCTAGAAGGAGTTCTGAACCAATGTATTTTGACACACCTTAATTCAAGGTTTACTTCTATTCTGTAATAACCAGAAGAGTATACATCAACTTTTACTACCATAAACAAACTCTAAGCAAATATGTGGCCCTGAATGGTAGATTGGCTGTCCAGAAAACTTGTGATAAACTTGAGATTATTATTATTACATTACATTCATACACTGCCTTTCTTCCTCTTGCAAGGAAGCCATGGTGCTTACAAGATTTTCTTCCACTCCATCTTATCCTCACAGCAGCAACCCTGTGAGGTAGGTTAGGCTGAGAGTCACCTAGTGAGCTTCAAGGCTGAGTGGGAACTAGAACCTGGACTGCCCAAGTACTAGTCCAAAATGTTCACTCTCTCATTGCATACCACTGGCTTTCTCTTTAGAGTTTCATAGCCCATCATTACTCCAACAATTCCGACCCTGAGCGAAAGGGCTCAGCACAGGTGTTACCCAGCCCACCTTGTACTGATAAGTTCATATCCATTATCCAGAATCCACTGCAAATCTGATTTGTGCATTTCCTCAACGCAATCAGTACTTTTGATTATTATTAGTTTATGTATCTGATCATTACTTTTTACTTAGTTCTCCAAATTCTTCCTGATCTTTTGTGAACCATTTTAAGCTCGTGTGCTGTTTCATAACAAGACAGTTCCAGGGGAAAAATCTAGCAATTTCTTCCTGGCAATTCCAGGAAGGCTCAACCAGTTATTCATTCGAAATCCATGCAAGTCAGTTTGCATTTTAATTAATACCAGTTATTATAAGCTATCCTGTGAAAGTAGGCATCCTAAAGGGCAAGGTACTAAATATATTATAAAATTAAAATCCTCCTTTGCATCCCACTCAGGTTGAGGTACAGTCAGCAGTATATGTGGGACGCAGCCTTCTCAGTGGTGGCAACCACTGAAATCTTTGTCCCAGAATATTTGGTCTCCTTCCTTCTTACCAGTAGACAGTCACTTAAGAGCCCCTTAAGTGCTCAGGGAAAAAGCTGACTGTTTGGTATAGTTTCTGATACGTTTTTTGTTCAGTTTTGCTGATTGGTGTTTTATTTGTAATGACAATGTATATCTTTAAGGCTTATTTTGTGTTGTAAGGTGGACTGTTGGGTCCTCAAAGTTGGAAAGCATGCGGAGCTATAGTTTGTTAGCAGAACACAGGCTGTAGTCCTGCACATGCCCCCTGAAATTTTGCACTGGAATCTACATCACTGAACTCTCTAGCTGTTTAGGATTAGGGTGTAAGATTTTATCACGTAAAATGACTTGCTGACTGTTTTGGCTGGAAAAATATATTTTCCATAAAAATACTAGTTCTAAATTGTGAAGATGAGTAGCAAACATATCTTTGAAAATATTAAGCCTGTTTAAAGGGGTGGTTTAAAAACTGAGTAAGATAGGTAGGTGGCACTGTCTGATCATCATGCCATACTTTGCTGGAGTGTCTAATAATTAAACGTTGCATTCTGACTAGAACCTCTGGCTTTTCCTAGCGCTTCCCTTGGAGCCACTGTGGTTAGTATTGTATTCACATTAGACCAGGTGCTAGAGAGTATCTCAGATGTTCTGATCCAGCACAGCTGCAACCTCAGGAGGGAGTAGAACACAACAAGCGGAATGCGGGAATGAGCAGAGGGTGGTTCAGGGTTCACTGTTGGTTTAAAGACGAGGTACGTAGCCCTTGGGGAAGAGCAGGAAATTGTGCAGAGTTGAATGCAGGCTGACTTTCATAATTGGGCCATCCTGTGGCAACTTTGGAGTACTGTTGAAATACCTTCCTGAGACTTCATGACCATTCTCCGTTTTTGGTGCACTCAGTTAAAGTACAGTAACTTTTGGCATGTTACTCAAAGTTTTGGATATCTCAAAGGCATAGGCTGTTGCTGTGATAGACGAGGTGTTTTCCTGGCATCATCTTCTCTGTTTTGGTCCTAAGAATTATGAATATGAAAAAGAAGAAAAAACATTGCGATGTATGAAGAATATGAACAATAACTGCAAAGCATGTTATGTGAGCCACTTTACAGCATTGGCTGAAAGAAATCTGCAGGATTGTCCACAAATAATCCTTGGTCCAGTACACTGATTTTCCCCCCTTAGGTTTTATGGGTTCTTTGCAAGTCTCACAATAGTATTAAACCTGCCAGATCATGCCTTAAAGAATAGGATGAATTTGCATCCAAGCCTTCCTATAGCATTCTATGAAGGATGTTTTAGATTTTTACTTTTGTAGCATAATTCTTTAAACTCGTTCAGACAGAAACAAAAGAAAGTCTAAATATCTCATGGAGCCTGCTTACACTGGTTGCCTATATACCTCTGAACATATTTCAAGGTGCTGGTTTTAACCTAAAAAGCCCTACATGGCTTAGGACCACAATACCAGACGAAATGCCTCTCCCAATTTCAATCTGCCCAGGCCTTATGATCTGCATCTGGGGCCTTCCTCTGACTGCCACATCCAAGGGAGGCCCAGAAAGAGGCAACAAGGAGAAAGGCCTTTTCAGTGGTGGCCCCACAATTGTAGAATGATCTCCCCACTGAGGCCTACCTGGCACAAACATTATCATTTTTTTGGTGTCAGGTCAAAAATGTCCTCTATTTCCAGGGCTTTAATGGCATATGTTGAACTATGGCAGCTGTTTTAATTAGGTCTAGTTTTACTGAAAATGTTTTAGATGTTAAACTGTTTTATGTTTTTGTATACTGGAAATTTTAAGCTGTTTTAAATTTATATGTTGGGTTTTTATACCATGCTTTATGGTATTTTTGTATTTTGATTAATTGTTGGGAACCCCCCAGAGAGAAATGACGGGCAGCATAGAAATAAAATACATGAATAAACATATCCTGTCATGTTATTTGTAATATCTCTTCCCCTGAATTCTCCATCAGATAGGCAAAAATCCAGTGAGGTCTTTGCTGAATCTCCCAAAATTGTGCCGTGCCTCCCTCTTGTTCGGAGAGCTCTCTCATCCCTTGAAGAAGTCTCTTCTAGTTAGTCTTTGATCTTGAACAGAGGGTTGGGGGATATCTCAGTGTTCTTAGTATGACCACACGGTATGCTGGTGAGAACTTGGTCATAACAGATACAGAATTCTGTCTACCATGATATCCATGATTAAATAGAACATGATGTTTTGCAGTCCAAAATACACCCTTTTGGCTCGGATTGGTGTGTTGAACTGACTTGTTGTGAGGCATACCTAGATTGCAGTGTGGCAGATTCTGGGACAGAAGGATCTGATTCATAATGTGATATGTTGTAAACCTGACATATGCCGAAGCATTTAGAAGCTTGGTTCAAAATGCCAGAATCTGCTGCCTGGAAAAATTTCTGCCTGGAAAACTGGATGTGTGAAAGACTCCAGAAATGTTGGATTTCTGCCCTAGCTTTGGATGAAGCTTCTGCTGCTGTGTGATACTTTCACTGCAGCTGCACTATTTCCCTTGTCTCATTGGCTCTGTTTACATGTAGATTTTTGAACACCATGACTGCTACCACCTTACTGAGGGCCCCAGCACAGCTGCGCCGGGTGTTCAGCCAAGTATGAACTGCAATAAACTTGGCTTAAGCAACCGCTTCTCTAAGGAACAAGTGTGATTGAATGTATGATACTGCATAGTAATTGTTACTAGCAGATATTGGCTGCATTGGACTGGTGCTTCCTGCTAAGCCAGGATTTAGGGTTGTATGCATAAGCCTCTTCAAGGCTGAGCAAAGCCTCAGGCTCATGTTCTTCAGCTCTATGTTCCTCTTCCCAGTTGGAGAACGTTTGCTGAGTTGAAGCCACTCTTCCCAATGTCTAGGTTGCCCTTGCATACAAACCAGGAATTGTGGCTTGTAATATGGTAAAAAAGTCAGCAAGACAAACCAGGGTGGGCTGTTGGCTTGTTTAACAGTTGAACCACCTGATGTTTGGACTACCACTCCCACAATTCCTGACTATTGGCTAAGCTTACTGGAGTTTATATGAGTTGTTGTCCAAAGCACCTGGAGGCTATCAGGTTGTACATGATGCTAAATCTTGACTTACCGGCACCTGTGACCTGGCATACTTAATGCACTGTGACAGATAGGATTTGGTTTCTTTTCAGTACTTGCCAGTTGTGACTTCTTTCCAGCAATTTATTAGTGGATCTGAGATTTTCCTGCATTTTGTGGGAGAATACTGGGATTAGTTCTAGAGATTCTATTTTGTTAGAGGTTATACATCTTAGCTGGATAGCCTTGAATGGCTTCCTCCTGGAGAAAAGTGTGATCTGCTAGCATTTAGAGAAACAAAATATATTATTTGAATTTGCTGTCATCTCACCCAATAAGAGAGTGAAGGAAGTTTATAGATTTTTAAAAAAGGAAGCTCCACTTTGGAAAATGTTGGCTTCTGGTTGAATGCAGCAACACACAACCCTGCATCACTCAAACACTGTATAGCTGCCAGTAGGGTAACTGGTTTCCAGTCACAGCTGCAGGCTGGGCCACTGGCAGGACCTTCTGGCCGATGGCCAAGTAACATATAACGTATCACAGCTGTCCCCTTAAGGCAACGTAAATGGCACTTTCCCATAGAAATACACACATAGTGAATTGATTGTGTTCTCAGAGTCAGTCCCTCGTCACAGAGCCTAAAGGGCAAAAATTGTTCTTCTTTGCCCTATAGAATGTGGTTCTTTCAGGAGGATCCACAATGTTCAGGGATTTTGGACGCCGGCTACAGAGAGACTTGAGAAGAGTAGTTGATGCCCGACTGAAAATCAGTGAGGAGCTCAGTGGTGGTCGGATAAAGGTAAGCAGTTCTGCTACCTATTAAATGCCTGAACGAGCAAAGCAAGTGCGTGTGCCGCTATTAACGAGGCCCGTAAATCAGATGACATTTTACGAGTGTACTAAAGTCACTCATTCCAAGCAAATTCTAGCCCCAAGATGCTGTGGCAAAGGTAAAATGACTTCATTAGCTCCAGTACACGAGGGCGCGATGGAATGACTGTTGCATTTGACTGTGCTTTGCTTTCTCCCAGTCCAAAGAAATTTCAGCATACAGGGAGTGCTTTCTGAAGGTCTGGCAGTGGCAGCACCCTCTGCCTATGGGACATGCTGCTTTATAACTGAACTGTGCCTCTTCAGCAGGGACCTCCGCTGTCGGTAGATAAACAGGAATGTATTTGCTCTTGTTTGCCCCGTCCCGTGGTCTTCAGGGAGCAACAGAGTGGAAGAAGATGGGGCACGGAGGGAGTTTGGAATGTGTTCTGAGATGCTCAGATCTGCTTCTGCCTCAAGAGCAGGAGCCCAAATCTTGGAGCTGGGCAGAGAGATGCAGAAATCCTTGTGAAGAGCCACTAGGTGAGGCATTTGTAGCAGTGCTGGCAATTCTGCATGGCTACGCAGTTGGATTCCATTTTCCCTTCTCGCCATTGCATCTCCTCGAAATGGAAGGTCAAAGCACAATTTCTGTTCCAACCAGTAAGTGGACCTGAATTGCCCAGTGTTTTGATAATTTGAACTGGAGGTTGTGTTTCTCTTTGCAGCCCAAACCTGTTGAAGTTCAAGTGATAAGTCATCACATGCAGCGCTACGCAGTCTGGTTTGGAGGATCCATGCTCGCCTCAACAGTATGTCTCTTATGGAACCACTTTGTTAGAGAATAGCTGCTCTGGAAGGTAGCCAGAGGTCACTCTTGGCACAGAGACCGAATTCTCTTCTGTCAGCCTCCCCAGCACATTTGCTTTAGTTCAGTGTATTTCCCCATGCTGAGCATGCCTCCATTTTGCTTCTGTTAGTACCACCCACACCCTTGCATTTCCAAGACCAGATCTGAATTATACTTGCCTATTTCTTCCTCTTAGTAAAACTTTGCAATGACTGCTAGGACAATGTAATTTTATCAGCCTTGTTTCAGCATGCAGTTTTGGTCAAATGGATCACAGATCTATTTATTTATTTATTTATTTATTTATTTATTTGAAACATTCCTGTCCTGTCTATAACCAAAAATGGATCTCAAGATGGCTTACAAACCAGAAGCATAACAGCGCAATTCAAATACCGATACAAATATATAAAAATATATAGTAAAATAATCCCAGTTATCTGGTAAAACAATGAATACCCTTGAAATACTGGGTGAATAAAAAGGATTTGGCCTGGTGCCAACAAGAATAGCGTATCGGCGCCAGGCGCACCTCTCTGGGGAGCATGCTTCAAAGCTGGAGTGCTGCCACAGAGATTGTGGCAGTGTGTGATGGCATGAGTTAAAAGATGGCCATGATTCATTTTGAGAGTCTATCATTGGCATAATCAACCGCTAAGCTGAGCCTCTTTGCTGCTGCCACCTCCTCCTTTGCTAACCAATTGCGCTAAAGGAATTGTTCTTATTTTACATGCTTCGCTCATTTGTGCTCTCTGCAAGACAGGCAGCATACTTACGCAATCCCCTTGAGGATTGGCTGGGGTCAATGTAGTTGGACTGCCCCACCCCAGTTTCCAGTTGTTTTTCCCTGGGTATCTGCAAAACAGCGCTAAAGAAAAACCATGCCCCAAATATCTGGGTCAGTACTGAAGTAATGAATGGCAAGTCTATTCCAGAGAGGCTGTTTGCTGAATTGTAAGATCATAGTGGTGCTTATTAGAAAATGGATACATATTCTGAAAGGAAGTGCCAGTTAGATAGAGGTGGGATGGAGCATATTAACTTCTGGATTCTTCAGGCTTCGTGTCCTACTTTATTTAGGTTTCTGTTACCTATCCAAAGCACTTACAAACCTGTTGATCATGCCCTTGATACTTCTGAACATGGAAGCTTATCTCTGCCTTCCAGCTCCTCCCATTCCATAGCTCAGCCAGATGACTGAAAACATTACAGTTCAGTCACTGGTGACTCATATAGTTCATTTCTCCTGCGGCTGAGAAATTTGCATTCATGCAACAGACAGATCGTCTCTTCGCTTCTGTAAAATCTGGTAGAAGTTTGCCAAGTGCCATACTTAATGAGAATGCTCAAACATTCTGGATAGGGACCAGATTGTGCTAGGACACAATCCAGCTGGGATCCCCAAAAGCCTCTGATCTCCATCTCCTCTTTCCTCCTCCTCTGATTTTTTGCTAGGCGGCCCTTTTCAGCCATCTAGCTGGGGCATTTTGGAGAGGAGGAGACTGGAGTACTTTTGGGGTGCATTGTATCCTGGCCACCCCAGTCTTCTCTCAAACCACCTCTTTTACCCACTCTCTGATGTAAACTGACCAGAGCAGCCTCTTGGGCAGATTCTGTTTTGCCTTCTTGGCAACATATGCTGCAGAGATAATTGTATCACATAAGTTCTGACTCTTTGTGGCTTGCCGTCACCTGGGTTTACAAACCCTTTCTTACGTCTCTTCCTGTCTTTGTTTTTTCTCAGCCAGAGTTCTTTGAAGTATGTCACACCAAGAAAGATTATGAGGAATATGGTCCTAGTATCTGTCGCCACAATCCTGTCTTTGGCGTTATGTCTTAATGCTTGTTGTGGCGTCCGAACTACTCTGGTGGTTGATGGAGATCCTTTGGCTGGTGAGGAGGAAAGAAGGCTTGGCGAGATGCTAACCCGGAGGAAGACTACTTCAGTCTCACTGTGTGCACTAGAATTTCGCATTGCAATGCAATGGACAACCCAGAACCATTTGAACAGAAGTCACCCTTATTCTGATTATTTGAGCCTCCCCTTCCTTCCAGCATAGGAGCAAAACTCATATTTAGGGAGACTGTGAAAACAGGAATTGCAGGGACAAATAGAGGCAATAAAATAAGCCAAAATGTTGTTGCTGTTAAACCCTTTCTAGAACAGATGGGGGTGCTTAAGCCTTTCCTGCATTGATCTCGAGCTCCAATCTAGTCTTCCAGAAGGAGAGACTGTTTATAAATTACTGCATTGGTTTCCAAGAGACTTGTTTCCCCAGTGGGCATCCCTACATAAATAGATTGTAACATGGAGGCCTTTGTTCATAGAAAAATTAAAATACTGTAACTTTGCAGTGCAAATACCTTATTTTGAGAATTTTGAACTTCATGACAATTATTGAGGTGTTTTTTTCTGAGTTGAGTTTAAATGGTTGCTAATGCCATGAAGTTAGTGGGAGGGACACAAGTTCCAGTTGAGATATATACTGGGAAGTCTTGTTGGTAAAACAGCAGGCAACCCAAGATGCCCCTTTGAATACAGATATGTGTTTTTACAGATGATACAACATTTATTTGAATGAAGTTTTTAAGCCTCTGAAAGTAACATATGATATTTATTATTGCTATTTATTTACCATTTTGGTTTTATTTTATATTTGAGACCTGGTGAATAGTGGATGGAAAGTTCAAATAAAAGCTGTTAATGTGTTCATACAGAAAGCTATACTATTATTTAAATTCCTTGTTTCTGAAGGCTCTTGTTCAATAAAATTTCATATTTGCTTAGGAATGGTGCAACTTTTTCAAAGTATGTTTGGGAAAAGGTGACAGATTTGGTCTCTGATGATAGTTAGCCACAAATAAGAGGAAAAATTCTGCCTGAAAAGCTATTATGGACTGACAGTGGTAGCCTAAGAGGACATGGTATATTTAAGGTGTAATCCCATGCAGGTTTAGGCAGTTGTGTTTTTTATCTTTCTAATCATGCATAGAATTGAACCCTTAATTGGGTGGCACTGCTCCCTTGATGGAGTATCTACATAACCTCATGACGGCTCATGGTTTTAAATGAGCTTCCTTTCTTTCTACTCCATGGTGTTGTGAGGGTTTTGCAGGAAATTTTGGAAAAAAGAGAGTTGTGTTCTAAAGGTCCCATCCCATTTCCCATGCTAGATGCAGGAAGCAGTAGGATAAAGTTGCATAGCTTCTGCAGTAAAGGCTTATTTTACTACATGGGGGATAGTTCAAAAATACAAAAAGAGTTTTTAAAAGTTACGGAATCCACATTCAGCAGCTAAATGGTTGAAGCCTTGATGTTAAAACCCTGTTATACATTAAGACAGAGTATGTCAATGATAATGAAATTAATCTAAGAGCATAAAAAGAGCCAGATCAGAGGCCTGCCTAGTCCAGTGTTTTGTTCACACAGCTGTCTGGGTGAAGTCCTGTAGAACATTAGTGCAGCACCCCCCCACCCCGGTGCAACTCATGTAAAGCTATTGGTACAAAGAGATACACTGCCTTTGATAATGTAAGTTGATAGCCCCATTTTCAAATTTAATTGGAACCCAATCTATTCTCTCTCATGTATGATCCTAAAGGAATATAAATTCCAAATATCACAAAGTCAATAGAATGTTTTGAGGATAAATATTTACTTATGCCACCTTCCCGGTTAATCTCACAGGACTGATATGAACAGTAAATTGAGCAATCTAATCTGCCCCTGCCGCTGCCAATCAGTCTTCTGCTAGAATGAAGAAACCTAATCTTAGGTCTTCTATATTTAATGAAATAGAATCTCTTACTCCTTCGGCATACATCATCATAATCCAGCGAAGAATGAAGGCTAATGGAGTTCAACCTGATATGGGAAAAACAGATTGCAGTTGGATGGTCTAGCAAATCCATCCAGCCAAATTGGCTGTACATATTTTGACCTCGACTCTTCTTCTGGCTGGACAAGAGGACTTCTAGGATGCTGGGCAAGTGTAATGTTGAATTTATTCCCTATAGTAATAGTTACTACCTGCTGTGAGACCCTGGCACTGGATAAACTAAAAATCCATAGTAGGTATGTTCAAAACCTTTGTCACCCTGCGGCAAAGGATTTATGAAGAGCTTAATCAATGGGTATCCATGTCGCCTTAAGAACCTGAGAAAATGGAATAGGAAGTGGACTAGTTGAAACTCTGCCAATTTTTCAGGCTTATTCTGGAAAGCTTGCACATTAATCAGAAGAAGGGATGAGCAATTCAGCCAAAAGTGTTTATGTAATGGCTTTTGTAAACTCTTGACTTGAATTTTTTAAAAATATTGTGTTCTGGAAGCAGTTGACTTTCCATCCCATCAGCTTATCTATTGGGCTGTCTCCCTGGTAAATGTTTAATAACACTTGGGTTTCGTTGTTGTAAATCTGAAGAACTTTGCATATGTCTCACCATGGAATTTTCAATTAAATACAATTAGCAAAGCCTTGTTGTGACTTGAAGTGCTGATCTTCCTGTAAATAATTCATTCTTTATGATCGTGCTGTTCTCTCTCATCTGGAAAAATAACACAGTTGTGCCAAACGAGTGTCTGAAGACACTAGAGTGAAATGCTTGCTCAAAACCACCAGGGAGAGAGATGGAAGAAGGAATATATAATCTCCTACTTAATTGAAAAGCACTACATTATGTCAGCGTTTCCTGAAGAAAGGGTTTTCTTTTGAACATAATTTGTTTAGATTAATTTTTGTTAAGGCTGTGTAGAATGGCCGTAGGAAGCAAGAAGAGACTTAAGTTTTGGAGCAGCAGCTGATGGAACATTGGGATTTCAGAAAAGACTTTGATATCCTCATAATACAGCTTTGAGAAAGGTAACCACTAACTGCCATGGTGATGTACCTATGATTGAAAATGTATTTCCAGAGTATTAATAGCTCTGTTGGCAGGAGACTAAAAAGAAGGATTCAGCAATATTTTGCTGAGTTTGGAACTCTTAAGTAACTTCATTAATAAGCTTGATGAGGGAGTGCATATTAAACACAGAAGGGTTGCAAGTATCTTAAGAGGATAGGCTAAGTTCAAAATGACCTTCAGCAGAATACGTCGGAGCAGAATAAGACAGTGAACATGACTGTAATTACATTCCTTGTAGTAACAGAGAACCAAATGCAGAAATACAAGATGCGAAAATAATAGATTAGTGTTAATACACATGTCGTTTCCTATCCTAAACAGATGTAGGGAATCTTTTAACCCTAAAACATTTCACATCACTTGAAAATGGGCACAAAGGTATTGGACAAGTGATGGCGGACCTTTTACAGACCAAGAGCCCAAACAGCAACCCAAAACCCACTTATTTATTGCAAAGAGCCAACACTGCAATAAAACCTGAAAACTGAGGTTTTCGTTTAGCAAAAACCACATCACAGCGAGTCCAAGCAAATATATATACCCTTGGCAGCACACTGACTGGCCATTCAAAATCTCGGATGAGTCGTGGCTAATAAGTTGCAACTCGTCATAGCCTGGCGCTGCTACTCCTTTCTGAGAATGTGCAGCCCCACAGTGTGCGCTGTTATCTGATGCTGAGCTGCTGGGGTGATATTTGGGTAACTTGGCTCACGTGCTGACAGAGGGCTCCCTGGGCCTACAGTGGCTAAAGCTCCATTGAAAAGACGGTGCTTTTAAAAAAGCCTTCTTGAGTAGCTTTTTCTGCACTGCTCATCCTTTCTGCCCATTGTAAATGCATTCCAACCATAAAAACCATGCCGGGACAGCTCATTTTTCTAACCCTAACCCTACCATGGTGCACACCCCTAACCCTAATATAGGAATAAAGTTCCATTGAAGATAGGGTGACTTTGAGAAAGCCTTCCTTGAGTAGTTTTTTCCGCACTGCTCACCATTTCTGCCCATTGTAAATGCGTTCCAACCATCACAATCATGCCGGGACACCTCGTTTTTCCAACCCTAACCCTACCCTGGTGCACACCCCTAACCCTAATATGGGGCTAAACTTCCATTGAAAATAGGGCGGTTTTGAGAAAGCCTTCCTTGAGTAGCTTTTTCTGCACTGCTCATCCTTTCTGCCCATTGTAAACACATTCCAACCATCAAAACCATGCTGGGACACCTCATTTTTCTAACCCTAACCCTACCCTGGTGCACACCCCTAACCCTAACATAGGGCTAAAGATCAATTGGAAATAATGTGATGTTGAAGAAGCCTTCCTTGAGTAGGTTCTTCTGCACTGCTCATCATTTCAGCCCATTCCAAACACATTTCAACCATCAAAACCTTGCCAGGACACCTCCTTTTCTAACCCTAACCCTACCCTGGTGCACTCCCCTAACCCTAATATAGGGCTAAAGTTCAATTGGAAATAATGTGATTTTGAAGAAGCCTTCCCTGAGTAGCTTTTCCCGCACTTCTCATCATTTATGCCCATTCCAAACACATTCCCGCCATCAAAATCATGTCAGGACACCTCCTTCTTCTAACCCTAACCCTACCCTGGTGCGCACCCCTAATCCTAATATAGGGCTAAAGTTTCATTGAAAAGAGGACGCTTTTGAAAAACCCTTCCTTGAGTAGCTTTTTCTGCACTGTTCATCATTTCAGCCCCTTCTAAACACATTCCAACCATCAAAACCATACTGGGACACGTCGTTTTTCTAACCCTAACCCAGTGATGGTGAAGCTTTTTGAGACCGAGTGCTGAAAGTGCAACCCAAAATCCTCTTATTTCTCGCCAAGTCCTAAGATTGCAAAAAACCCTTAAAACTGAGGTTTTAGTTTAGAAAAAAAAAAACAACTTATAGCCAGTCGAAGCAAATAAATATATATCCTTGGCAGCGCACTAACCGGCCATGCGAAAGCTCGGTCATGACACAGCTAAAGAGTCGCAGCTCATGGCGTCATCTCCTGGCACCGCTACTCCTTTCCGAGCATGCGCATGGCCCCTCTGTGCGCAGTTATCCAATGCTCAGCTGCTGGGGCGATGCTGGGGCGACTTGACTTGTCTGCCGACAGGGAGGGGTCATCAAATGTTGTTGACTGGAGGAAGATTCAGAAGGATGCACTTTTTCTCACACAGTACATAGTTATACTATGTAATTTGCTACCATAAGATGTAGTGAGGACCATTCATTTGGATGGCTTTAAAGGGGGCTAGATGTATTCATGGAAGACAAAGCTAGCAGTGGCTTGCCATCTAGCATCAGCGATAGTTTAGCTATGTTAGCCATATCCGAGACTGAACATTTAGCATAGCTGTCTACATCCACCCCCCCGCCCCCATGGCTTAACTAAGCTTTTGCAGGCTGCTTAATTGTTTAAACCAGTCGCTTGATTCAAACAATCACAGGACTCAAGATGCAGTCGAGAGCTTTATTGATGTATGCTCTCAGCACCACTACGTACATCAGTACAGTTCTTACTAACTAACCCAGGATTAAAAAACAAATTATCTCACCAAGTTAACCAAATCCAAACATTGGAGCAGCAGGGTGGCAGATGCTGACGTGCTGGGTGTGCATGAGTGGGGCCTGCAGAAACCTGCCCACCTGTGGATGGATGAGAAGAAACCAAGACTGTAGGCTACTGTTAACCCCTTTTCCCCAGGCTGATCTCTTGGTAAGCTGGTCAGAGTCATAAGACAGTATTTACAAGTTCAGCTGCAGGGTGGGTCTGGGCTGCACTGGACCATGACCACCCAGACCACTTAGGTTGGGACCATATGATTTGTTCTGTTGGGTGAAGATAGGCAATGAGTTAATGTTTCCTCATAACCAAGAGCAGCAGATGCCCAGGGAAATCTGTACCTGGAGGTCCCTCTCGGTGGTTGCCACTTATGAAGCTGGCTGTGACTCAGATATGTTTATTTGTTCTTGATCGCTGAGGATTCTGGCCTTGGCTCTCTGATGCTGATGCTGACGATGGCTTATCCCATTGCTTTTACATTCTCCCTTCTGCCCTCTTGCGAGGAACCTAAGACAGCGTATCCAGCTCCATTTAATTCTCACAACTACCCTTTGAGGTAGGTTAGCCTGAGAGTGGCTGGCTCAAATCACCCAATGAGCTTTCTGTCTGAGTGGGGACTAGAACCCGGATCTCCTGGGACTAACCCCCACACCACACTGGCTCTCCATGTTTGTCCTAACATAGCTCATTTTATGCTGTGGGTAATTGAATTCACTCCTACAGAGCAGGCAATTACTGATAAAGATCAAAGCAGCCCAGGAAGGTTTCATAAGCAGATTTGCAATAACTTGATCCTAAAATAAATATCATTCCTAGGATCTCTTGTGCTTTTACCTTATGGTCTCCTGGGCAGGAAGCACCAGCTGTTCTTGAGCATGGAAGACCTGGCATGCCAGCCTTCCTAATCACAGAAACTAATCACAGAAACTGTGTTTTAAAGCAGAGATAGACAAAGTTGTGTCTGCTGACACCACACACCACTTGGCATCCACCAAAGTCTCTGCCCCTCCTACTTAAACACATAGATTTTCTTACTGGCGTTTATTTATTTGTTATTATATTTGTATCCTGCCTTTTTTCCTGCTCTGATGAACCCAAACTGGCTTGCATGGTGCTTGTCTCCATTTTATCTTCAAAATGACTCTGCAAAGAAGGCTCGTTGGAGAGTCAGGGACTGCCCTAAAGTCACCCTGTGAGCTTCATGGTCAAGTAGGGGCTAGAACCTGGAACTCCTAGATCTGCAGTCCAGCATCACACCACACCACACCACACCACACCACACAACACCACACCGGCTTTGCTGTACCACACTGGGCTCATGATTGCTGAGAAGCAGGTGCTGAAAAATCTGAGTTCAAAGGGATGATCTGTGGTCTTGGGGCTTGAGCCCCTGACTCTGCTTTGTGCGGGTCTTTTGTTCTTTGCAGCTAATCATGGTTCTCACAGCAACCATTTGGTGGTTCTCCCAGGACACTTTCTCAAATTCCCACATGTATCCACAGCCCAAAAGCTGCCTATCCTTGTTTTAAGAGAGAACCCCAAATGCTCCAATCCTTCCCTGCTGTGTGACACAGCATATTCTGAATTACGGTACCTCTGCAGGAAAGTTCCATTACCACTGTAGCTTGGGGATAAGGATGGAATTATAACCTTTCCAAGAGCACCACTGACAGCTATCCCTGAGGGGGGAAATACAGAAAGAAATGTTTTCTATATATTGTATGAAACATTGACTCTGCATCAGCTCATGCAATGCACAGCAGTTTTTCAAAGACCCTCCAGCTGCAGTTCTCTGTCCCATCTGTGACCCCAACACTGCTCTTGGGGGTTGGGGAAACCTTCTGGAATAGGGTGAGATCCTGGATGGAGAGCTGCATTAAGGGGACCAGCCAAGGTCAAGCGATAATTAGAGAAAGGCTGTGGCTCCACAGTATATCCTGCATTATGCATGCAGGAGGTCCTAGAGTCAACCCTGCCTGAACCTCTGCCAGTATTGCA